TAAGACATTCACCGTCATCCCGACACAAGCAGACCCACTCTGCGCTCTCCAATTAAAGCACAGGCTCGCGGAAAAGACCGGAAAGCCCTGAACCCTCGCAAAGCACATTCTGCTTCGCATGTCGAGTCCCTCGACACTGCGTTGACTTCGCAAAAACCAAACAACGACGCGCTGTGATGTGATCTCCTGATTTTGTACCGAGTCCACTCGAAAACGAGGTGACCGTTGAGTCGACTCGAAGGCAGCGTTGCGAATCGAAACTGACAACAGTGCTGTCCAGTGATCTCCAGATTGACACGCCGAAAATCGAATCTTAACACGCCGAGAGACGATACGACTGCAAACCTTACAGTAATGTCCTCGTGAATCTACGTGGCAAGGTCCTTCACGAAAAGCCTCGTGGGAACCACGAAGCTCCTAAACCGCATATCCGCAGTCATAAGACCGAGCTAACCGTAACCTATCAGTGTCTGTGAATCCAATCTCACTGCTCTAGGCACTGCTCTAGGCGTCAAACGAAATGAAGGCTCGCCCTTGATGCTTCTTCCCATCAGATCCGACGGCAGAGACCGCAATCTCGAAAGCGTTATCGCACTTCTTGTTTGAACACCATTGTTACACATCTCAAAACCCCATTGTATTCAGGCTCATATTTCGTACGCGTTAAAAAATTCCTCGGTAACACGCACCTGTCAACGCCCTTATGCTCCAGTTCCAGATCCATCTTCCGCCAATCCATTCCGCGCTCCTCCAGCGCAACCTCCCGCGGCTTCGCCTCCCCGAACGGGTTCACCGCCGGCTTAGACGCCTTCACCTCCGCGGCGGGTTCCGCCGCTGCGCCGCTGGCGGAAGGGGAGTCGGGCGCAACGGGGATGCCCTTCTCCGCCAGCACCTGCTCGCGCGGGCGCGCTTCCCCGAACGGACTCGGCTTCTTGGGCTTGTTCGCATCCTCTGCGCTCCCCGCGCTTCCGCCCTCACCCTCCGCGACAGGCTTGCGCGGCTGAAGATTCAGGCGCGGCCGCTCCGACGGGCGCTCTTCGCGGGGCTCCTTCCCCCAGCGATCCGCCTCGAGTCCTTCCCGCAGACCATCCCTGGGTCCGTCCCGCCTGCCGTCCCGGCTAGCGGACGGCACGAATTTCTTCGCCGCGCCCCAGTTGTCCACCTCATCCGCACGTGCGCCCTCGCGATCGTCGAATCCTCCGCCAGCTCCGCGCCCGCCGAACCCTCCGCGGCTGCCGCCGCCGCCGACGGACGCAGAAGGGACGTACTTCTTCGCCGCGCCCCAGTTGTCCGTTTCGTCGGCACGTGACGGGCCGCCCATGCGGTCCCCGCGATCCCCGCGGCCGTCCATGGACTGGGACGGCTGAAATTTCTTCGTCGCGCCCCAGTTGTCAACTTCGTCAGCCCTTGACGGACCGTCACGTCCTGGACGGCCGCCGTCGTCCTCATACCGGCCGCCGCGAGACCTGCCGCCATCACCAGACGGCACGAACTTTTTCGTCGTTGCCCAGTTGTCCACTTCATCTGCCCGAGACGGCCCGTCGTCCTCCCTCGGCGGTCGTTCGCGATCCTCGCGACGGCCATCGCGACCTTCGCGACCGCCTCCCCTGTCGCCCCCCCGGAAACCACCGTAACCGCGAAATCCGCCGCCTAATCCGCCGCTTTCCTCGTCTTCGCTGCGCTCCCTAGGACCCGTCGGGAGCGCCATCTTTTCCTGGAACGTAAGCCCTTTAACGTCCTCCACTATAGTAGTCCTGGATCGCGCTCCGGGACCGACATACGCGCCTGTCGTGAACTCTGAAAGAGAGAGCGTTACTTTTTCCTTCTTCTTTTTCTGGGGCTTGGCTGCCGCCTGGCCTAGCGTCGGAAAGGCCTCATCGGACGGCTTAGATGCTGCCTGCGCGAGCTCCGGGAAAGCGGGAGGAGGAAGCTCTTTGTCCCCCTCCTCGACATCGTCTGCCCATGATTTTGATCCCCATGCGGACTTCGCCATGGCTTAGTAACTAGGACCCGCTTCCGGGCAGGGAAAAGCTGAGAAAAAGCAGAAGGAAATGGTTGAGGATAGGGGAGAAGGCTACTAAAGGAGAACATGGATTGAGGGGGTTTTGGTGGAGCAGAGGAGGATGAGATGCGAGGGGTTGGGGTGGGCTGGGGGACGGGGGTTTGTGTTGCGCATGTTACCAGACGAGGCTTCTCGTCGTGTAACGGTTGAAGAGATAACGCGTACAAGCAGATTGCGCGGGGCAGGGGTTGGTTTGTGGTTCCAGGACACCCGAGTCTTGGTCTGGCTTGGGATTCTAGAAATTCGGATTTCCGAAGGTGGGGGAGCTGCTGACACCTGCCCGTGAGAATCCCGCGCTTTCTTGTATTCCTTCCTACCCTTGCCAGTGGATGAGATTCCCCCAACCTGCTTGCCTGTTGGTTCGGCCCGTCGACCCTTGCTGTGCGCCGTTGCGGCTGCCACCGTGGTTCGATGCCTCCTATGTTTTTGGAGGTTAGCCAGTTTGGACGTGGCCGGGCCGCCGGGCCCGTCGAGCCACTCCGTCAGCCCTGGCAAAGTGGGCTCGTCGCCCGAATTGCGCTGGGGTATTCAGATCAGTTTCCTCAGGCCTTGGAGAACGAGAGCCTAGGCTACACCATCTACTTTGCTATTAGCATGTGCCAATGTCTAAGTTGATATTGTTAGTGTTTACAACCCCAAGAAGGTCGAAGTGTATGATACTGAATACAATAGCTACTCTTAAATTGCAACAAGTAATATTCATAGACAATGACAGGAAACAAACTGAAGATTCTCAATCGAGTTGCTCATATTGCAAGTGCTTAGTTAATGTGTAATCTACTGCAAGGTTTTTATATACAGTACCATTGTCTTCGGCTAAAAGCGTATCAATCGAGTGTAGTACACCCCTCCTCAGCCAGAGATCTGCAACGATTTTTTTAACGAACACACACGAGGAAACACCATTCATCAATCATTGCACCGGTTTTGTAATTCCAAGCTATGTCACGACTTACGCCCTGCATGCTGAGCTGAGCCGTTTCCGCATGAAAACTTCCTTCCTGTGTTTGAACTTGGAACCCCTCAGGGACTACGGAGCTAGGGCACCCTTGGCAAACTGAATCTCAATTTTTCCTTCAGTGGCGCTGTAGTCTGCTTGAGCTGGCAGTATTTTTTGCTTTGCGGATCACAGTTTTTACTTATCACACTGTCCAGCTTGTGTAATGCCAGTTCGGGCTGCTGGAAAAAAAATAAGTGTAAGTTTAGTCTCCTTTCAAGTGCCAAATTTCTTGGAGGCCTTTTCAGCCAGTTCCTGCCATGCCATGGCAGGCACTCTGCTCCACATGCGACAATGATGCTTCCAGGCAGATGTGGCTGTGGTTGCTGTAACCGACCACCGCTGGCATTTGCGTTTCCGAAAAGGCAGATTTGCGTTGCTGTCCTGAGTGCACTCCCCGAGGTCTATGGGAGGGGAGCAACCTCACTGGCCAGCAGCGCAAGGAAATCTGTGAGCTTGCGCGCAACAGTTCCATACACTTGAAAGTTCCGCAGCAGCGGGGCATGCCGCAAGGGTGCGCATGTGAAAATATCGTTGTGAGGCACGCGACGGACAACTCGGTTTAGTTGCTGGCTGACTGCCATTCTCGGAATTCTTGCAGGTGCTGTACACCAGTAGGGACTTTCCACGTGGTCGTGGGGGCGGTCTGACCTGTCGTCAATCGACTCAGTAACAGAATCCGACGGAGTGTCCAATGAGCCAAGCAGCCTGCTTCGGAAGCTCATCCCGCTTCTGGCTCTGCCCCAACCTCGTGCGGCACTCTGCTTTGCTGCAGTGCTAGCGCAATGAGGGCTCTCCTCCCCTTCCCTGTGGTGTTTCGGCTCGGTTCCCCCTCCTAACCCCCGCCAATCCATATCGGTTTGAACGCCACGAGCCAATTCCGCTCCGCGGCCTGGGTTTCCCGGCAGCCACACTTCGCATGCCACTTTCTCTCCTCCCCTCCCCTCTCCACCGTCCGACCCCCAGCCTCGGTTTTGCGTCTCCTCAGTCACGCAATCGCAAAATGTCGGATCAGCATTTTGCCTGGCCTGACCACCACGCTCCTTCCAAATGACAAACCTGCCCCCCGCCCCCCCCCGTAACTCTCGACGCCTTGGCCCCAGCTTCCCTTCCTTACTCGCCCAGAGCACACACATGAACGCCGGCCTGCTTGTTCAACCCGATTCTCTCTCCATATCAATTCGATGGTGTTTGCTTCTCCGACATTGTCGATGCTTGCTTGATGGATCCTGGTAGCTGGTAGCCTCCCTACCGCACCTACTCCCAAAACACGTCCCTCGCTCCTCCGTCCTCAGTCGTCCAGCTTCAGTTTGCCGTTCAGTTTCGTCATTTCTCGACGCATTATCGGGAATGGTCTGTGAGCCACAGCCTGGAAGCTAAACTACCCGAATTACGGACGGAATCTACTCGAGAGAAGGAAAAAAAACCAGCGAACAGCAGAATTTGAGCAGTTTTTTTCACCAGCGAAGCCCTCAACTCATAAACAACCCGTTCCCACTTACGAAAATGGTGCTTTGGATGTCGTCTGGCTCGCAGCACACAGCAGCGGTGGCGCCGTGTGCAGTGCAGCAGCTAGATTTATGGCAGCCCGCCGAATGCGGAACCTCCAGCACGGAAGACCATATTTCCGACGAGGAGGTCGTGGAAATGGCGTCGCTGCTTCTCCAGTGCGAATCCGATTTTATGGGATCTCTCAACGGGCCTCGTGCTAACAAGGACACTATTATCGACTCGGCTGAACCGCCTCCTCTATCCCAAACGTTCACGAGGAGCCCTCATCGCGGAAACAAGCGGCAGCGGGAGGAGTTTGCGTCAACTGGACGGACTCTGAAGGAGGATCACAGTCGGATTCTGATTCAGTCGTGCAACGTGAAAATTGAGGACCTACTAGGCCCGGAGAGCAGCTCGCTCGAAAGCATTCAGGAGACGATTGAGTTTCAGATGGACGTCGCGGCGTTTAACGATGAGGCTGCTGTTGGGGCTGCGGCGGTTGCGCCGCCTGCGTCGAGGGCGAAGAGTGAGGGCGAGGTGGATACACGCGACGGCGAAGTTGACGAGGGCTGTAACGGGTACATTCCAACGTCTGCTGCTGACAGGTGTGACCCGCAGTTGTCGCCGCCGTCGCCGCCATCGTCGCCATCGTCGCCATCGTCGTCGTCCCGCCTGCTGGTCCTGCCCCAGCTGACCCCCCAGCCAGCACTGCTCCACATACCGCAGCTCGCGTGTTCCGCCACGTGGCAAAGCACCAGAGACGCCGGTGCCTTCATCGAGCCCGATCTGAAACGGTTCAAAGGCCAGGCTGGTGATTTCTACCCTCGTCACCAGGTGTCCTGCGCGCCGAGTCATGTCGCGCTGAGCCACGCGCCTAGCTTCGCGCCTAGCTACGCGCCGAGCTGCGCGCCGAGCTGCCAGCCAATTTGCGCGCCGAGGTGCGGGCTAGCGTCCGCGATGCGCGTCGAGCGGAGCAGCGGGGAGCACGCGACGCCGGCGCCTAAAACGAGAGATTTGACGGAGACGGAGTCCCTCACGGTTGAGCTTATATCGGAGCATCGCGGCGCGATGACGATGGAGCCTGGTGAAGTGTACCATACTTATCCCGAGGAAGCTTCGTCGAATGCTGCTGGCGGCGACTGGAGCTCGGGACTGGATTTCGCCGGCGGCCAGCAGCAGCCGCCACAGTTGGCGCCGCGGCGTGAGGCGGCGCCGGACAATGCCGGAAATTTGTATGGCCGTACTACTGGCTGCGACGACCCGGCGCCGCCACTGCCGCCGCCGCCGTCGCGACGCTGCTTGACGAAGCCGCGGCGATCGTCTGCGTCGTCGGCGTCTCACGCGGCCACTCGCGGTGCATCTAGAAGGGCGGACATGGCGGCCACTCGCGGCGCCGCAATCCGAGGGGCGGCGGCGTCCGCTGACTGCGCCGCTGTACCGCGCGCGACCTACGCGGCTCTAAGATTCGGCGAGCCGGGCTACCTGGCGGAATACCGCGGCGCGTTTCGGGACAATGTGACGGCGCTCGCTGCTGACGTCATGCAACGCGAACCCGAGGGGTACGAACTTACATGTTGTTTTGGTAGCGGCCTCGCAGCCTTGTACGAACAGGAGCTATTTCGCTGCTTTTTTTTTTTTTTTTTTTTTTTTTTTTTTTGTGCCGCTACGTCTAAAACGTTCTGTCTCCGTTTTCCTCCCTAGAGCCCGCCTCGCGTTTCGCTCCGCCTTCCACTTCGCCTTCCGCTTCTCGTCCTGATGTAAAAATGTCTTTCCCACTCTCTCCCCTCCCCTTCTCCCTTCCCCTTTCGCCCTTTTCCCTACTTGGCGCGCGTGTGACAGTATCGAGGGCCATCCGACGTGGAGCCTTCTTCTCACCGTCACTCGCGCCGAAGCGTATTCTCAGCCTCCGTTTACGCCTTTCGAGGCGCTTTCGCACCCAGCTCCTTCGGCGGTTTCCGCGGATCCGCTTTCCCCCTCCGCGCGCAGCCCGCCGCCTCCCGCCACCCCGCGCGCTCAAGCCCGCGGGGATGTTAGCTCCGCGCCAGAACCCAGCGCGGGGAACTCCGCGGCGGGCGCGCTGTGCGCCACTGTGGCTCCCGCGGAGCATTCAGCGCTTCTGGGGGCGGCGCAGCAGCAGGCGCAGCTTCAGGGGGCGGCGCATCCGGCGCAGCAGGTGCTGCTGCCGCTGCTGCTGGTGGCGGAAGCGACTGAAGGGTCCGCCAATCCGCACTGCGACTACTGCCGCAGCTCGGGTAAGAATCCGCGCTTGGGTGAAACGGCAGGGAGAGCGGGGACGGGGGGCGGGAGATGCTGTGGGGAAGGTGTTAAAGGGGGGATGGGGGGATGGGGGAAACTGGGTTGGCGGAAGTTAGAGGCTCAGCTCAAGGGTGTTGAGGGGAAGGGAACAGGAGTTGTGCTTGAGTCATGCGTTAACTGTCCAGCTGTGTTAACTGTCCAGCATTGCCAGCCTTCCGCCACATGCCCTTCTCTTATCACCCGCCACCTCCCTGTAAAATGCTCTCACTCTCCCCCCCATTCCTCCTCCCCCCACAATGCTTGCGCCACTTGCAGGTTGGTGTCACCACCCCATTGCTGCGCACAAGTACCATTTCATCATTCCTGCCAAGAACCCGCACTCGCACCCACTCTCTCCCTCCCCCCTTCCCCTCCCCACCCCTCCCTGCGTTTTCAACTTGCAGGTTGGTGCCACCACCCCATCGCTGCGCACAAGTACCATTTCATCATTCCTGCCAAGAACCCGCACTCGCACCCACGCGCCGAGGTAACCACTCACTCTCCCCTTGTTTACTCTACCCGCTGCTCCAGCCGCTTTGGAAGAACCCGCAACCATTTGCTGCCCATCTCTCGAATTCCTCTCCCCTTCTCCCGTTGCTCCCCTCTGGCTCATCTCCCGTCCCTTCAGTCACAGGTGCTTGCAACCACAGCCAGTAGCATGAGTCCACGCGGCACGCGCAGCACCACCAGCACCAGCAACCACCACCCCTCGTCCCACCACAACCAGCACCACCACACGAGCATCACGGCTGCTGCTTGCCGCTCTCAGTCGCTCGCCGCCCCCACGCACCTCCTGCACGGGGTTATCCATACCAACGGCTTCGGCCACCTCGTGACGCTCAATGGCCGGGCGGCAGGCTCGCACGTGCTGTCCGGGCGGCAGCTGATGCAGCTGTGGGACAACATCTGCACCATGCTGCGCGCCAGGTAAGACATGTTTGAGATCTTGTAGGATGTATGGCGTGTGTTTTTGGTAGTCGCGCCAGGTAAGACATGTTTGAGATCTTGTAGGATGTATGGCGTGTGTTTTTGGTAGTCGCGCCAGGTAAGACATGTTTGAGATCTTGTAGGATGTATGGCGTGTGTTTTTGGTAGTCGCGCCAGGTAAGACATGTTTGAGATCTTGTAGGATGTATGCATGCATGTGTTTGGAGTCGACTCTAAAGTGACCTCGGCATGCTCCCCGTCAGAGCACTCTTGAGTGCCCCTCTTTAACATCAACGAGCAACATTACTTGGTAATGTCAGTCAACTGACACGCACATCTTTCCTCACTCTCATCTCCTGTTTTCCCCTGTTTCTCACAGGGAGGTGAGCGTAGAGGACCTATCGCACAAGCTCTCCTTCTCCTCAGACTATCGCCTCCTCCACACTCTCGCCTTCTCGCACTCCTGGTTCGCCCGCTGGGGCTACTCCTTTGCTCACGGCGCCTTTGGCATCACGCAGCACCGCTACAGCCAGGCTGTAGCGCGTGTGGCCGGCACACGCCTGCTGCCGCTGCTGCAGCAGCTGCGGGGCATCAACACGGGGATTGCCTCCCGCGTAGCAGCAGTGGTTGCCAAGTATCAGTCGCATGTGGTTGGGAACAAGTGCCTGTCTGAGGACCAGTCTGAGGGTGAAAACCGCAGGACCAGTCTGTGCCCACACGTCTTGGATGCTTCACATGAGACTCACCATGACCATCACCACCTACCACATGCCCCTCATTTTTCACATGGCCCGCACAGCCCGCATGCTGCCCCACCCAACCTCACCCTGCAGCACCTCTTCTCATCCCTCCTCGCCCTGCGCTCCTCCCTCCCCCTCCCGCTGCACCACCAGCACCACCACTTCCCCCACCTCCTCCACCCCTCCTCTCTCCCGCTCCCCTTAACTCTCACTACCCCTACTCCTCCCACTGCTCCCTCTACTCCTGCTGCTGCAGCAGCAGCGCCGCTAGCTGCTGTCCCTTCTCTTGCCTCCTCCCGTTCCCCCCTCCTCTCCTTCTCTGCTCGTCACCTCCTCGCCCCTCCGCCGCCCCTCACCCTCCCCCCGCTCTTCCCGCCGCTGCAGCCAATGGCGGCGCGCCAGCTGTCGGGCGAGCCCAGCCCTACCTCCGCTTCCTGCTTGTCCGACGAGCTGTCGCCACGTCAGCAGCAGCAGCGCCTGCTGCATCAGCAGCAGCAGCAGGCCCTGCCGTCCCCCGTTCCGCCTATCAGCTACCAACAAATGGACGTCCCTCCATCTCCCAACGTTCCCACTCCCTCTACAATCACGCCCGGTACAGTCACTCCCAGTACCATCACTCCCAGGAGCAAGCGAACCCTCCTCTTCCTCGACAGCCCCATCAGCAGCGCTTTGGCAGGATCAGCATCAAGAGCAACACCAACAACACCAACAACACCAGCAGCACCACCACCAGCAACAGCAGCGGTAACAGCAGCGACGGCAGCGGCAGCAGCAGCAGCAGCAGGGGACTATTCCAGGCGCCTTCTCTGCAACGAGCCAATCATAATCAGCCCGCTGCCCGCCGACTCGCCCTCCTGCCGCTGGTCCTCCAAGCGCCTCCACCTGGCCCAGCAGGTCATCGTGGACGTGCTCTCCCTCCGCCCCGGCGCCTGGCTGCCTCGGCACGAGGTTCGGGAGGCGGCTCGGCAGAGGATCGGCGACACAGGGTTGTTGGATTTTGTGCTGAAGTCGCTGGGGAATCGGTTGGTCGGGGATGTGGTGGTGCGGAGAGCGATTAATCCGCTTAGTAAAGTGCTGGAGTTTAGCTTAGAGCCGCTGCAGCGGGAGGGTGGGGAGAGGGGTGGGGGAGGGGGTGGAGAGGGGAGGGAGGGGGTGGTTGGGGAGGAGGGGAGAGGAGGGTTGGAGGGGCAGCAGGGAGAGGTGCCGATGGGGCCAGTATCGCCTCTTACTCTAAACGGAGCTGTAGACTTGGGAGGGGATCAGCGGCGGTCTTTTGAGCCTGCTTTTAGGAGCTCTTGCTTGGGCAGCAACCGTCATAGCGACGACATGGTTGCAGGGACAGCAGCAGAGGCAGGGGCAAGGGCTGGAGCAGCAGCAGCAGCCTTGGTGGCAGCAGGGGCAGCAGGGGCAGTGGCGGCGGCAGTGACTCCTGCTGTGCTGACTGCTGCGCCCTTCACCAGGGCTGATGTGACTCGCGACGTGGAGTTCCTGTACAAGCACCTGCTCTTTACTGTCACATCCACTCACGGCCACTGCCACCCGCATCAGAGGATGCACCAGCAGCAGCGTCAGCAGCACCGCCAGCAGCAGAAGCAGCAGCAGCAGCAGCAGCAGCAGCACGAGCAAGAGCAGGAGGAGCAGCGGGAGACTAAGGCAGATATAACCTCTTCAGAATTCTCCCTGGCTGCTTTCTCTGAGGCCGTGCAAACCATACTCGATACAAAGCAATTCTTTAAGGATTACAAGGGCGAGCTCACCAGGGAGCAAGCAGCACGAGCGGCGGTGGCGGCAGCAGGTGGAGAGGGGGGAGAGGGGAGGGATGGCGTCGCTACAGAGGCAACGAGTGAAGAGGAGGATGGGACGATTCGAGTGCTCTGCAGGTAGTTTGCTCTGCAGGTCTTATCTGGCGCAGGTGGTTTTTTGTGTTTTCGTGTGGTACTTTGTTTTGTGGAGGTTTTACCGTCTGCAATGTTGATACACGTCCCTTCAAACCCAATGCAGTGAATGCTGAACTCAATTCCAGTGTCCTGTTTTGCCGCTCATCTCCCTCCCTTTCTCCTTCCCCCTTCTCGCCCGCCCACCAGCATTGATGCACGGGATGCAGACACCGCTCGTGACTGGTCCATACCTCCGCCCGAGCTCATAACCCTGCCGCCCGAAGCAACCGTTTCGGACCTCAAGGCTGCTGCCTGCCGAGCCTTCGCCCAGACCTACCCTGTGGCTCGGCACATGCAGGTACGGCACCGGAGCAGGCCTGATGCGCTGCTCTGCTCCTTGCTTATCCGATCGGCATTACACATATTGTGCTTAGCATTGCATTGCCCTCCTCTGCAGCTCTCTCACCTATCTCGCTGTTCCCTCTCCTCCCTTATCTGCAGGTCACTGCTTTGCCGGAAGACCTGGCGGATCTTGATGATGACGATGTGCTCTTTGGCTCGCTCGACTCGGGCGCCTCTCTGCTGCTCGCCATATCCAGCCTTGATGCGCACAGCGAGTGGCGCTACGAGGGCGGCAACGACACGTGGGCCGTGCGGTGCGTGTGCGGCGCGCGGGACGACGACGGCGAGCGCATGATCGCGTGCGACGAGTGCGGCGTGTGGCAGCACACGCGGTGCGCTGGGATCGAGGATGCTGCGCCTGCTCCCATGCGCTTCCTGTGCTTGGGGTGCAGAGCGGTGCAGAAGGATCTTTGCCGGGAGGTTAAGGTGGATTGTGGTGAGAAGAAAGGAGCACGCAGAGTGGTGAAGAGTGAGCAGGTACGGTTGGAGGGAGTGAAGCAGGAAGTACCGCTGCAGCAGCACAAGAGGCAGCAGCAGCAGCAGCTGCAGCAGCAAAGGCTACGAGTGCAACCACCCTTGGACTTTTACCAGCACCGGCAGCAGCTGCAGCAGCAGCAGCAGCACCAGCACCAGCACCAGCAACAGGGGAAGCCTGAGCATCAGGATAAGACAACTCCATGCAGCCCCAGCTACCCAGGTTCGGCAAGCAGGTTCGGCGGCCCGCACCTGTGCCTGCCCCCACTCCCTCTGCTGCGCAACGTAAGCCACGCTGGCAGCATTACCAAGCAAAGCCAGGGCGGTGGGGAGTCGCAGAGGGTTGCAGCGAGCAAGGGCGTTTCTAAAACTCCCATATCCCCTCGTTTCGAAACCCCAGAATCACCTGATTCCGAGACCTTGCTAAGCCACGGGGGTAGTGGCAGCAGGCAGAGGCAGGGCGTTGGGCAGAAAAGGCGAAGGGACAGGGAGAGGGATGGTGGGTGCAGCGAAGATTTTCTGGGGGCTTTTGAGTGCTCTGAGGAGAGAGAGGAGGTTGGGGAGGGAGAAGAGGATGAGGAGGGTGGGGCAGGGGGGGATGGGAGAGGGTCGGGATGACTCGAATTGAGAGAGGGTGTAGGAGACATGCGAAGAGCATGGGAGATGGCCGGACAGCAGGAGAGTGCAGCAGGGAGCAGCAGAAGAGGTGGGTGGAGAGTGGAGCAGGAGGGGTGCCCTGTTCAAGGGGATATTATACTTTAAGTAAGATGACAGAGGTGACTATGGAAATAAAGAGGTCTGGGCCCTGGGAGAATGGTGCTGATGACAAGGACGCGTGTCACGACAAGGCAAGGGAGCATCAAGGCGATCCCAGGCGTCCCAGGCGTCCCAAGGCGATCCCGAGGTGATCCCAAGGAGATCCCAAGGCAACCCAAGGCGATTCCAAGGCAATTTCAAGGCGTCCCAGGCATCTGTTGTGTGTGTTGCATGGATCTTCTGAGGTCTACTGTACAGTCGTGCATGCGTCTTTTGCTTGTATTATATTATCGCCTTCTCGAAAGTCTGATGTGGTACAGAACGTTAATGCTTTGCTTGTATAAAGGCATATTAATCTTCTTGGCCTCTCCTTCCATGTTGTAGTAATGAGTTGGCCCTTATCCAATTGGTACACTGTATTCTGCTATTCAGTACCAACAGTGAGATTACTCCAGATTCACACAGGCCTCCAGATTCCTTTATGTGCCGTATGATAACGCAGCGCACTGAATACATATAAAAACGAAATCGTCATTATGGTACAAGTTCACGCAGTGTGCATCTTCTCTATATTGAACTTCGCCATAAACAGAGCTCCAGTGAGGTTAGCAGAAATGAGCTCTGAGCTAGATGTTGTCATCGCTCCGGTCAGCCCTTCCCTTCCCATCTCCTCCCCTCCTGTTAGTCCTACCATATATCCACCACTCTTTAGTCCCAGTGTGCCCCACCCTCCTTCCCTCCTCATCCCACCATCATCATCATATCATCCCACCATCACCTTATCTTTCTCTTCCACCACACCATAACCTCATCTCCTCCCTCCATCATCCCACAATCTTCTCACCTCCTCCCTCCATCATCCCACCATCTTCTCACCTCCTCCCTCCATCATCCCACCATCTTCTCACCTCCTCCCTCCATCATCCCACAATCTTCTCACCTCCTCCCTCCATCATCCCACCATCTTCTCACCTCCTCCCTCCATCAATCAACCATCTCCTCGTCCTCGTTCGATCCGCCCACCTCCCCTCTCCCAGACTCCGCCGTCCCACCCACCCCCTCATCCCCCATGCCCCCCCCATCGCTCCTCACACTCGCCTCCCCCACACACACAGCCGCCGACGCAGCAGGAGGCACGGGGGTAAACCCTTCCTCTGAAACATTCGGTCCACATACAGCAAACCCCCCCATATTCGGGTCTAAACACGGCCCTGCTGCTTCCCCCGCACAGACAGCAGCGGAAGCAGCGGGGGGGACAGGAGCAAGGGCGGGTAGAGGAGGATGGGGGGGGTGGGGAGGAGGAGGGGAGAGGGGGTGGGGGAGGAGCGAGGGCCACTTGAGGATGGAGGCGAAGTAGGTTGGAGGGATGTAGCCGTGGAAGCCAGACGTGAGGATGACCCCATTGTCTGACTCGAAGAATGGCATGCCGTCTGGGATAGAGGTGGGGGAAGGGTTTGGCAACGGTAGTGGCAGGGATGAGGAAGGAAGTAAGTGGAGGCGCGGTGAAAAACACACACACACACACACACACACACACACACACACACACACACACACACACACACACACACACACACACACATACACACACGAGGAGCTCATGCCATATGCCACGTGCAACCCACCTGCCATGGCGCGAGCGACGTCCACCACCACCAGCACCTCTGCGTTTGAACGGAAGCCTGCAGCAAAAGGGTGAGGGATGTGGGGTGTGAGGGATGTGGGGTGTGAGGGACGAAGCAGGGAGAGGAGAAAGATGGCAGGTGAGGTGCTGAAACCTGGCCTAACAAGTGAGGTGGGCGCTGAGAGGTGCTGAGGATGCTGATGATACCAGAGAAACAAGAAAACAAGTAATCAAGAGCGAGACATGTGAAAACCTCTCAAGTGTCTTAGGAGGTGGGACGAGCGCAGCCTGCGTACCGCTGACAACGGAGTGGTGCTGCGAGGGCACCCCCTTGGTGAGGTGCACGTGCTGCCGGTTCATGCGACTCAACCCCGACGCCAGTATGGACGGCAGGTGGCGCTCATACGTGCCGTGTACACAGTCTAGTGGGCGCAGGGAGGGGTGGGAAGAGGGGGTGGGTGGGTGGAATCGGGGGGACATATGGGTGCACCATTCCAACGAGTTTTGAGACGTCTCAAAACACTATTATTATCACGGTGCACCATTCCAACGAGGCATGGCTGGCAGGTGCCGCTCGTACGTGCCATGCACACGCTCTGGTGGGCGCAGGGAGGGAGGTGGGGGAGAGGGAGGAGGGGGGGAAGCAAAGACAGGTGGCACTTGTGACGCTCGTACGTGCCACGCATGCACAGCACACACTCTGATGAACCACGGGGAGAGAGGGGAAAAGGTTGCGTCATTCCAGGTGCAGCAGGTGGCGTTCGTGTGTGCCATGCACACCGGCTTACCTGGCAGGGCAGCAGGGTCGGTGATCCGTCGCAGCAGCTGCTCCTCGTCAACGTGCAACGAATGTGGATAGTGAGTCAACCCAGACCGTATAATACCTGGAAGGGAGGCGGGGTCGGTGATTCTTCGCAGCAGCTGCTCCACGTCTACGTGCAGCAAATGTGACTTTCAATACACGCACATCTTACCTGGCAGGGCAGCGGGGTCGGTGATTCTTCGCAGCAGCTGCTCCTCGTCCACGTGCAGCGAGTGGCCTTGGTTCGCCCGCACATACACCTCCCCACCCGGCCCTTCCCTCAGAGTGAAGCGCTGCTTGTTGTCCCGCGCCACAGCCTGGGGGACGAAGCAGGGAGTTGACAACATCATAAAAGTCAGGCGGGAAACTCACATGAACAATAATTGCATCACAGCAGCAAATCATTGATCAGTCCTCGTACCAGGCGCACGTCAAGTGAAAGACGTGAATTCTTTAGACGTTTCAATTAGTCAATCAGTCCCAGTCAATCAATCAGTCCCCGTACCAGGCGCACGTCCTCCAGCGTGTGGGAGGCGAGGGGGCGGTGGGCGTTGGTGTTGAGGGGCAGCAGCAGGAGATCGGCCACTCGCACGAAGCCATCTGGCGCCACGTGCAATCCCAGCTGGCTTGCCTGGTGCCGCAGGATCTTGGTCCTGAGCACACGAGCACACGCAGGCACTCACACAGAAAGAGAGAGAGAGAGACAGAAAGAGAGAGAGAGAGACAGATCCGTGGGACTTTCGAAAGACAGAGACAGAGACAGACAGGATGGCACGGGGAAAGGAGGGGATGGAGTGCGGAGGAATGGAGAAAGGTGGGGAGGGAGGGAGGGATGTGGGAGAGAGTGCGACGGGGAAGGAGTGAAGGTAGAAGGGGGTGAGTGAGGTGGGGAAGGAGTGAGGAGGGAGCGAGTGAGGTGGCTCCAAAAACAGGACATGCGATGCGACGCCCCAACAATACACCCTCGATTCCTGGCTTACATGCAGCGTCCCAAAGCGTCTATCTCACGATCCTCCTGCCCCCTTCCCCCTGTCTGCGACCCCTGCGCCTGCCTGCTCCCCCCTCCCCCTCGCCTCCCCCGCCCACTCCCCCCTCCGCGCCCCCCTCGCCCCGCCCCTGAGGCAGCAGCGCCCCCCATCTCCTCTTCATCCCTCCCCCCAACTCCACCCGCGCCTTCTCTTCCGCCCACTGCTCCCCCCGCGCTGCCCCCCCCGCTTCTAGCGCCTCCGCCTCCCCCGCTTCTGGCGCCGCTGCTACACGCGTTCATGCTGCCAATCGACACCTCGTCCGAATCCCCGAATCGCCCGCCCGGATCCGCCGCCATGTGCACCTCCGCCATCGCGGGCGCATGCGCGGATCGCCTCCCCCGCTGCCTCTTGTGCGCGCCCGCGCCCGCACCTCCCCCCGCGTCATGCCCGCTGCCTAGCGAAGACCCCTGGCTCTGGACGGACGCAGCAGGCGCGGGGATGCCAACGGCGGAAAACGCCCCCGCGCCCCGCTCTCCCGCTACCCCTACGCCCTCACCCGGCGCCCCCGCCCAGTACCCCGCGCGACTGCCGTCCCCCTCAGCGGCTCCCCATACTCCCGCTCCGCCAGGCCCTGCGCCGACTTCCCCCACCGCGCCGACGCCGCTGAGCGCAACTCCGCCCTGTCCGCCCGCGCTTCCGCGTCCGCGGCCACTGCGCGTCGAGCGCGTCTGCACTTGCCCGCGGAACTCGACTCCGCGGCCCCCCGCGCCCCAGCCCCCGCCGCGCCGCCCGTCAACGACGGAGTTGGACTGCGAGACCTGCGCGCGCGCGACGGGCGGCGCGATCTGCGCAAAGCTCTCCTCGTGGCTGTCGACAGAGGCTTGATCGTCCGCCATCGCGACTGGGTGCCGCGGCGCCTGTTGCGCCTGCAACGGCAACTGCTGCTGGTGGTGATGATGAGAATGATGATTATGCTGGTGGTGATTGTGATTGTAATCGTCTGCGTTGGATTGGCGGGCGCCTAAAGAAACTTGTTGCTGCTGCTGCTGCTGCTGCTGTGGCGCCCGCTGCTGCAATTGATGCGCCTGCACCAGCTGCGGCTGCTGCGGCTGCGGCTGCAACGGCGGTAGTAGCGGCGGCTGCGCTAAAACCGATTGCTGGTGCTGCAGAAACTGCTGCTGCTGCTGCTCGTGCTGCTGCATGTGTTGCAATGTAATCGCCGTTGTTGGCGGCGCTGGCGCCGCCTGCTGCTCCTGCTGCTGATGATGTTGCTGCTGCTGTTCCATCATGTGCTGCTGCTGCTGCTGTTGCTGGTTGTGCTGTTGCTGCTGGTGGTGTCTGTGACCGTCCACCCAATGGGGGTCGCCCCCCTCTTTCCCGGACTCCATGTCTCTCGCCACTGGCACCTCAGACGACTCCGACGCTGCCGCGCCATCTACGAATTCGTGCGACGCGCTCGCGATAGCCG